AACATTCAACAAACATTCTCGGGGTTCTCTGCTGGCCGCTGAGGGAACTCTGAGCGAGAACACACTCTCTTGGTCACTGGTCCGCCGTCGTCCACCGACCATGCTCTTTTCTTCCTGACATGAACATCAGGAATGTTGAGTCTTCTTGTCTGCCAGGCGTCCTTGCTGATGAGGCTCGCATGTAACCCCATTTCTCTGCCCCCTCCACCGTCATCATCAGTTGGTTTCCTTGTGCATGGCCTCGGACTGAGTAAGGGGAGCGCCATGACCGTGTGAGCTCCTCGTGAAGCTCAGGAAAGAAAGAGGTGGGTCTCTGTGGGGCATCCATTTGGCGGCTCACACTGAGGAAAGACCTGTCCATCCAGCGTTTGGCAGGCTGCTCTGGGACTGCCCAGTCCAGCCCCATATCCACCACAGCCTCCGTGGGGATGCTCATGAGCAATGCGTCCAAAGAGGTAAGGGTAGAGCTAGACTCTTCTGTTAGGGCCTCGGACCAGGCATCCAGGTCAGAGGCGCTCATGGACATTGTGTCGTCCTCCGCACAGCTGAACGAGACCAGGTCCCGTGCTTCAGATGGAGGGCAGAAACTGTCCTTGGTATAGGAGACCGTGGTGCCGGTCTCTCTGCGGTTTCTGCATTTATTTAGTTGCTACACTTCATAAGACTATATCTGTGGCAATTCATGAGTATAACGCGTCTAGACCATTGTTAGATTTAGCACAACTTTGATTAAACTGGACCAAATATAAAACAGCAAATTTGAAATGCTTTAATTGACTTGATTCAGATATATTGTTTACATGATTGCTGAAATCAGTTTGACCAGCTTAGACCAACTAGTTTCATAGTAAAATAAAAAAATAACAAACCCTGTAATTATTTTTTCTGCAACTCTTGTTCATCATCTGCAAGTCGCCACAGGTCTGACTAACCCTAGTTATGGAATGATTTCTGCACATGATGTTTGGCAGTGAGAGGGTGACATCTATTTAGAGATGTCCCTGAATGAAATACTGGGCACATGATGTCTCCTGGGGGGAGAGGGTAACGTTAATTCTAAATGATGATGGTTTAACACTCCAGCCCTGCAAACCTGTTACCAGGGGCATTCATTTACACATCTCCCACCCTTCTGCTTCCTTGAGCCAGCTAGAATGTAATTAACAATTTAAATCATCAGCTCCACTGAGGGATTTATTAATTTAGGCAAGCATTGTTATGATGTTCCTGGTTTAATAGATAAACAAGACAGTCAGTGTGCACCTTTGCTGTTGTGCCAAAAAAATTCAAACCTCATCATACAACCATATTATGCATCTATATGAATGTGCCTCAGACCCAACATAGCTCTGTCATTTAACTAACATATTTTTGAGAACATTATTTGTTATTTTTTCATTATAATACACCCAGATTTCCTTTAAAAAATACACTATAATAACTAGAGCACATTAGCTTCAGTGGTTCGCCCGCTCAGTCGCGAGTTACTGTCATTACCATTAGTTACTACAGTCTACAGTATGCTTTCATCACATAACTGCATATTACCTGATTGAGATAATTTACAAAACAGCTCGGTCTCCTTACTTAAGGTCCTAGGAGCATCCATTCAGGTTGTAGCAGTATTTCACAGTTGAGAAAGACAGCAGCTTTCCCGCGAGTGGGCGTGGTTTAAGCGCAGACAGCTGACACACCCCCAGCATTTGAGAGAAGAGAATATTTGCTCTTTTCAAGATTTTGATACCCAACTTTATTTACTTGGCTTTTTTTTTTCATTCAGATTTGGCTGCGTGGTTAACACATTTGTCTGTGGTGTGACAAACTCACAACACATATTTAATATTGCTTTACACAGACTTTAAACACTTCACATTAAACTGATTTTCATCAAATCAAAGAAATTAATGCTAACAAATAGACCTAAATACACTGGATTTAAGGAATGAGAGTATTTCTAAGGGTCAGATGCAGTAGAAAAAGCTCCTAAAGGTAAAAACTGCAATTTTCTTTTTCTTTTTCAAGAGTATTTACTGCCACATCTACGAGCTTCACGAACCTGCTTCAGGACATGGCTGTCCAAGTTCATGGGGTTGAATCATGATGGTCAACTGATAGAATATTCATGATCTCTGCATAGAACTTGAACTAAGTGAGGTGATTTCAGTGGCCTCAAAATGACTTAACATATGTTAGTTTAAAAAATAATGCTGTTTTAATAAGATTAGATTGAAAAATAAGATTTTGACAGGATCCTGAGAAAAGTAATATTACATTTTTATAACTTTGTGTTTTTGGTTGTTTGTGCTTTTTGATTCCCATATTTTTCAAATTAAAATTGTTTTAAAATCTTCTACATACACTATTGTTCAAAGATGTTTTAATGCTTTTAAAGAAGTTTCTTGTGCTCTCCAAGGCTGCATTTATTTGATAAAAAATACAGTAAAAACAGTTATATTGTGAAATATTATTACATTTTTGTAATGTCAGATTACTTTTCTTAGGCAATTAATTATTATTAATTAATTCAGGTTTTGAGAGGACTCGAATCTGAAAATTCGAAGTCAACCTGATTAGAACCGATTTCAAATTTGTTAGTTTACACTTTATCAACTACTCGTCCCGCGAGACGTTAACGTCCGTGTATATTAACGATTCTGTTCATATTACTTCGTGGCCAACGACACATAAACAAAATGGTAATCTTATTAATTTTGAGCAAGGTAACAAGATCTTGGCAAGGTTCAACTTTAAAATTACAACACAAGACAATGATTCTTTATAAATGAAACAAGAATTTATTGGCTATTCTAGATTACATTAAATTATGTTTTATTTACAAGGTTCGGGAGGAGCGCGTCAGATACTTAGCCTAATTAACACAGGTGGAGCGCACTCAAGTTAATCAACACCATGATATAAATACAGCTGACTTACCTCTATCCATTGACGGTTATCAGCATCCCTCCTCCGCCCCATCTCCTCACTTCGAGTTCATACTACACTTATACGGGGGGGGTACTCTAGGTTCGTCCCGTGTTTGCAGGCCTGAGGGCATAAGTTAATTTACTCATCCTTTTCCTGTTGGATGTAATATTTCCTTTCATTGGTGGTCACAAGACATCACGAGGTATCTATAAGTTGTAGTCCTGATACAAAAGATAGCTTTGTTGTCTCCTGATTGGATTAGTTCAGACCTCGTGATGGCTGATAGGGGCATATCAGTGTCTAGTGTTGTCAAAAGATCCGGTATTTCGTGTTTCACAAGACAGAGACCTTACATTTTAAATCATCTTTTTTTCTATTTTAATATATTTTAAATGTAATTTATTTCTGTTATGCAAAGCTGAATTTTCAGCATCATTACTCCAGTCCTCAGTGATCACATGATCCTTCAGAAATCATTCTAATATGCTGATTTGCTGCTCAAGAAATATTTCTTATTAATATCAGTGCCGAAAACAGTTGTGCTTTTTATGTAAACTGTGGTACATTATTTCAGGCTGCTTTGATGAATAGAATGTTCAAAAGAACAACATCTATTTGAAATAAGAGGGAATGTTTATACTGTCAATTTTGATCCGTTTTATAATTCCTTGATGAATAAAAGAAAAAATTTAATCTTAACAATCCCAAACGTTTGAATGGTAATGTATGAATAAAATGTGTAAACATTTCTTATACAGTATATAGCTTATACAGTGTCCCATTTTGTGCAGTCTTTGTGTGTACTTATTGGACACTGGTGATTATGTATGTATAATTGTATAGCTTATTTCTTATTGGTAAAACTGACGGTGTTACAGCTGACCCCATGTGACATCCTTCTGCAGTCTCCTCTAGTTGCACTATGCTAGCAAGGTCTTATAGTCCAGCTCTGTTAAGAATGGAGCTATGATGTACTTGGAAATCTAAATAATTGAGTAATATCTTTGAACTGTTAGTGCCATAATTTGGGAGCACTTCAGTTAGCCCTTTCAGAACGGTCCACTTTGGATTGCAGTCTCATCAGCATGCGTCGCTCCTTGATTGCTGATTTTACATTCCTTACCGCCTTATCTAGAGATAAAGCTCGGGGTGAAAATACAGTACAAAAAGCATCAGAAGAACATCCATTTCCATGTCAGTAAAGCAGAGTAGACAAGGATGACCTTTTCGGCCAGGGCCCATGAGAGCGATGCAGATACCATTCTTTGTTCTGGGAGGTAAACACCCAGTAGGCAACACCTGTGGACCCAACAGCAAGAACGGTTCGGTTAATATTCACACCGTAGCTGAGTTGGTGAGTCAGGGGTCCATACTGCCGTGTAGGATGATTCACTATTAATCAAGGTCTTGCAGGAGGGCAGTGAGCCTAAGATCTCCATCTCGCTGGCGTTATTTGAGGGAAGGCTGCGCGGGACTATTATTCAGAGTTTATGTGTGTGTAAAGTGCTAGAGGAGAGAGTTCATACTCAAGAATAAGTACTAATGTGACCCCCCTGCCCACCTCAGGTCTAGTGCTTGGAGCAATCTGTTTCTGAATGCACGTAACCCCCTAGGAAGAGGCTGTTTGAGGCAGATTGCTTGACTTGGAGAAATACCACATGGAGTCGAGCAGAAAATGGCCTTGAATTGGAACCCCACTAGACGCTAGTTAGGACTGACAGAATGCATCTAATATTGCACATTCACTGCTCCTTATTGTTTCGGTCTTGGATATTAGAGCATTGATGATTGCAGATGCAGCTGTGGCGATAAATAACTCAGAGAATAAACCTTCCCTTATAGCTTGATCCAAAAGCGTGTGACTATTGCAGCACCTTACAGAGAAGGTGCAGACGGTGGTTATTTGAGTATATGAAAATCCATCCTTTCTTCAGCGTCATGTACTGTAATCATGCTTTATAAATATAGAAAGACTAGTAGCTTATTCAAGTGTGCATCTAAATCCTATTCTGTCGAATGTACTACAAATGTTTCAGACCTCTTAAATTCTATAATTTGTTTTGTTTTTGGTCTAGATCCAGGCTGGCAGACTTCCACATGAATTGCCAGACGACACCGCATTCAATAACAAGCTGTCCTAATGATAACTACCACGGTTGTCTGGTGTCCTACGTTGGACTCATTGGTGAGTGATTATGGGAAAAATCTGCTGCACGGAAATAATAAGAATTTGGAATTGCATTTTAATGGACTGACTGTTTGGAACATGTATGTTGCCTTCTGTAGCTGTTTTAATTAGTGATGCACTAGGAATTTTACTTTTAAGAAAGATTATAAAGATCAGGAGAACAGATGAAGGCAAGGGGTATTCAAATGTTTTGAAGCCCAGGACACCAAATATAACAACCCCCTTGGGGTCCCTTTTCCTAAAATATAAATGCAACTATATATAAATGTATGTATGATACAGTTTTATTTTATACATAAATATGCATACATAAATAAATATTATATCTCAGTTACATGATTTCTGACCAGTTTTTAGAAAGAATGAAAATATTATCAAATAAGGTGAATGTAAATGTAGAAGCATATTTTAACAGTTTTGCTTAATAAATCATATTCGACATTGTCTTGACCTGACATAGTAGCAGACTTTTTAATCAAAAGTATCAAAAATGACCTTAAAATCAAACATTGAAATTTATAAATATTTCCATGAGTGCGAAGGACCAACCTGGAGCTAAATATTATATTAATACTAGCTATTTTACAAAGTAACAGAAGAAGTTGCACCAAAATGCAATAAAGTTTGTTTGGATACACAAATATATTATTTGTCCTGAGCAATGTTCCCTCTATTTTTTTTCCTGCTTTCTTTATATATAAAGATGACCAAAGTATACCAGACCTGTACATACACAAAAAAGTGTGTAACTTTTAACTTTAATGTGCTATTTATATTTGATTTGACCCTTGATGTAACTAAATGATGCACATTTTAGGTTACCTGAGAAAACATTTTTTACAGTGCTGAGTTACTTACCAAGAAATTATATTAATTAATTCATAATTTAAAAAAAATCTCACACAGAACAGTTAAATTCCCTTTCATGGGAACTTCGAACTGCGTCCTCTAGGGGTCGCTATGGGGAACGCCTCGTCGTGACCCGTGTCTGAAGCATACATTGAAAAAACACCAACTCGTTGGCCGGCGACAGCCATGA